GGCTCTGAGGTTACACAATATCTCTTATTTTTCGGGCTCAGCAAGAAGAACTAGCTTTCACAATGTGGGCAGTCGAGAAGTATCAATCGCCAGCACGCTTCCAGGAAATCAAATACATATTCATGTACATCATTATATCATCTTACACAAGCGTTTGTACTATTTGTCGACAAGGTGTAACACAGAACCATTCTTAACAGTAACAACAGAAAAAATGCTAAACTGCAAATGCAAAAGTTGTTTCTCCGGTTAATTTTTCCACTAACTTTATTAATTTCAATGTGATTGTAAAAATAAGGAATGTTAATCACCAAATAAACCTATGTGTATATGATCCCATTTTTTATCATCTTAACATCCTAGTTGATGACGCGGTTTGTCGAAAGTATGAGACTAACGAGTGTGAAAATAAGTTCTTTACCTAGGCGAAAACAGCAGATATAGATATCCTTTGGAGCCATGTTTATTCACAGTTATTCGACTATACTACTAATAAGTAGCTAATTTTTTTCAGTGTGGATTTCAGAAACATCCTAGCGTTGACTGTTTCCGTTATTTCATCTGCAGACGTTGTGAGTCGCCAAACCACAAAGTTGCATTAATCAGATTACGCCCTGCAAATTATTGTCTATTATATCACAGCAAATATGGGTTTGCGATTTATGCTAAATATCAACATCGGGAATAAAATTCGTTTTTAACAAATTTTCTTGAAATTCTACAAACAAAACCAAATTGATCGTCATTATAAAGGCTGAGTTCTTTATAATAAAATACTTTTTGGTATTTCACACAAATCAGTTTCAAATTTGTCAATATTAAGATAATATATGTCTATATCAAAGGTGATTGTAGATGGTGTTAAATAAGTGATAAGCAGTCATAACGAATATAGACAAATGACAACTGGGTGCAAAATTGGTCAAAAACAAAATCTTTTCCAACTCGTAGATGAAGACATAGGCATCCCTCGAAATAGGTTGATTGAAAACGGATATCTACCTCACTTCCAAAAAGAACATCGAGTCAAATATCCTGTAGAAAAAAAGACTGTACATACGAGCCTTGACGTAAAAAAACGATATGACTGTTGACGTCTTACAGAGAAGGGTTTCAAACTCCTTGAAAAAAACTTTTGACGGCTGCTTTGAGAGTAGTGTTCTCTAGTTGCCCTTTACTGAGCAGTATCACATCTGGCCACCTCTATGTGCATATATCAGCTCACCTGATCTTGACGGGCTAAGTACATTGGCCGTTCGATATAGGTCCTATCCAAAATTATTCGAGGACAGTATGCTGTGTGGCTACAAAAATGTAGCAGTAGATCTATAAGTGCGATGACCTAACAGCTTATCGACACTAGTCATTCAATTTTAATAAGATCCGCCTCCGAAGAAATAACATACGGAGTAAGAAACCCACCAAATTTAGTGTGCCACATCCTTTGCTTTCCTGAAGCTATAACAACCCAAACAGATTTGTCGAAGTTTTACATACAACTTTGCCTCCTTTCATGATCTTTGAAGTTTCAAAACAACTCTCCTAACTCTTTCACTAAATTTATTTCTTGCCCACCATCAACCGTTTCTTGTTTCCATGCCTCGCCACTTCGGCCCCCACCTCCCACCGATAATAATTCACTCAGTAAATATTTTTTCATGCAACTCAAATCTATATTCAAAACTAATTCAAATATGCTAAATTCCTGTAATACATTAACCAGTATTCAACAATCTAAGTAATCAGCATTTTTTTGATATGGCTTATCTTACCTGTTACCATGCCTTTTTGAATAATATTCACTATTCGTAAACACCTGTCATTTCACAAAATAATGACAATTTAACTTCATATCCACTAACTTGCTGATCGCAATCCTTAGAAAACTTTAGATACACCAAGATAAAACTACACCTCATCGAAAATTGTATATCAGTGTGACGGTACAGCAAAGTGAATGAAATCATCGGAGAAAGTGTCTTGGCTAAGCCAAATGTTTTCATTCCCCCACATGTAAAATTCATAAGGCTCTGTAAACACCGATCGTGAGACTAGGTGGTGCGTATTCCTAATTCCCACCTACGTACCGACTGACTGCAATTCGGATGATGCAAAAGATAAAATTCTATGAGAAGCTGTCAATTTCGCTACGGAAAGCAGAACGTTCAGATGTAGTCATAATGGCAGGTGACTTTAACGCTCAAGTAGACAGGCGAGTCAAACCAGAAAGGCATCCTGGGGGCATTTACGGAATTCCATGCCAACGAACCGACAACGATGATCATCTGTTGCAATGTCGTTCGGATTATCATTCGTTTCTGGCCAGCACTGACTTCAAGTATAAGGAGAGACACTGTCTCACATGGCGTCCCACCAACATGAAGGCAACGATGGACATCGATGAATTGCATTGCTACAAGCCATCGGTGGAGGATTTTCGCTCTTTCTGGAGTTCCAGTTTGGGTCCCGACTAATAGCTGCTACCTTATCGTTTTCAATTTCGTTTTATGCCGGCATCTTTTACAGATTAGTCGATTTGATTGTGGCCTTTTTTCGGTGCTGGATGATCGTCGACAATCAGCATTTCCGTCCTCATGCGTATTGGGACCTAGTTAATTTGTCTAGACATCCCATCATTTTTATTCTGGGTGTGCTCGAAGTCCAGAACTGGAGCATCTGCTAGTTGACAGGTTCGAAATGTATGCGAATATACTGAGACTTTTGCTCAACGAGTTCGCAGTAGCCGGCATTTCGTTCCCCTATTAACCCATCAGGACAATGTTGTTTATATAATCCAAGCTAATCAGATGACTTCCAGGGAGTTTGTCTGTCCCTGTGAAGCCAAATGCACCAAAGCTTATGTTCATTAGTGCGTCTATCACGAAGTGAAACAGGGATGGTGACCGTTAGCATACTTTACGGACACTACTATTTGTCTTCATTTCAACGGACAACTTCCTATAGGCCTAAACATGGCTACACGAGTTCGAGTAAACAGCTTTGATTAGCGTCACATGCTTGCTCGATACTCCTTTCACAGTCAGACACTGTCATAATACCCCAAGGTTGACAGCATAGTATGCTGCCTTTAGGTCAACGAATAAGGCAGTTGTCAGCCACCGGTAGTTATGGCTATGTTCCAGGACTTCTCGGAGTGTGAATGTCTGATCGATACACCCTCGTTCAGGTTGGAAACCTGCATAGTTTTCTCGAGTTCGTTGTTCTCGAGCCTAGTTAGGCCCCGGACAATTATGGATGCTAGGATCATGGACAGAATATTAGTCAAGTTGATTACCCTATGGTTGGCACAGGAAGACCCCTCTCCCTTACTGACTGGGATGCTTACCTATCTCCTCCCTATACGTGTACTTGAAATTCTCATCTGCCAACAGGGCACGGACAGGCTTTACCAGGCTTTATCACCTGTTTCCTGAGACCAATATGGCGCAGACATATACGAGCTCGTATTAACGCGTGGTCTGAGTCGGGAACGGTACTCCAAAAAGAGCGAAAATCCTCCATCGATGGCTTGTAGCAATGCAATTCATCGATGTCCATCGTTGCCTTCATGTTGGTGGGACGCCATGTGAGACAGTGTCTCTCCTTATACTTGAAGTCAGTGCTGGCCAGAAACGAATGATAATCCGAACGACATTGCAACAGATGATCATCGTTGTCGGTTCGTTGGCATGGAATTCCGTAAATGCCCCAGGATGCCTTTCTGATTGACTCGGCCTGTCTACTTGAGCGTTAAAGTCACCTGCCATTATGACTACATCTGAACGTTCTGCTTTCCGTAGCGAAATTGACAGCTTCTCATAGAATTTTATCTTTTGCATCATCGAATTGCAGTCAGTCGGTACGTAGGTGGGAATTAGGAATACGCACCATCTAGTCTCATGATCTATCGTAATCCTAACAGATCCATTCATTGGAACAGTACATAGACGGTCGTTTACTGGTATTCGATCGAGAAGCGCATTTTCTGCTCTATAATTCAATGCTATGCTTATACCAGCGAGTCCACGAGAGCCAGTTATTGAGTCTCCGGATACGCTTACGATTAATGTTGAAGATTCACTACTATGGTCAGGTGAGGTCAATTTCGTACCACACTCCGGCCCTGTATGCATATCTCAAAGACATAGCATACATCCATGGGTAGAGATTCCGGAGTTCTGGTGAGTGGTACTTCCTGTCCGGTTTCTCAGAGTTTCGACGTTGAAAGCTCATACATGAAATCGGCGGCGGAGTCTCGGCAGACTACGAATGAGGTTTCGATGGCTCTGACCGTTGCCAAGAGTCGCAGAGTGAGAGGCTGGTGCGGGAAGGAGGAGGCATAAAAGGCTCAGAATAAGTAACATGAGATGAAGGCAAAGAAGGAGGCAGAGTTCAGGAGGATAGGTAATGTTCGACTGGGTCTTTTCTAGTACTGGAAGCGTGCGGGCGATTGATACTTCTCGACTGCCCACATTGTGAAAAGCTAGTTCTTCTTGCTGAGCCCGAAAAATAAGAGATATTGTGTAACCTCAGAGCCCATACGACATCCACCCCAGAACTGACACATGGCCTTTTGTAGGATGTAGTTTTCACGCTTAGTTATTCTAATACCAAATAAACAGAACCTATACCAGCGTCATCGGGAAGCCGTGAGGCAGGGTGGAGTGTGTTATTTTGAGGGCCAACCTTTCCTAACCCCTTTTTTCTGTTGGGATGACAGCATCAACTTGGCACTGCTGGTCATCCAAGGGAAATATTTCACTGCTGTCCCACCCAATAAAGCGAGCAGCAGTACGACTACGCTCCTAGTACCTCATCATAAAGGTAACTGCTTTTCGTCTCAGCATCATCCGACAGACCTTTCTTTCATGATAGGACATCGAGGGAACAAGCGTTACCCCAGCATAGCTCCTTAGGTTATAATGAAAAGCATACTCCACAACTCCGTCAAGGTACTAACTCTATGGTAGGTGAACAGTATTTTACTTACGAATACTGCGTTTTGAAAGGATAAAAGCCGATTTATAAATTTGCAGGCCTATTAATACTTCAATTACATTACTCATACATATTGTTAATATGAACACAGACAATGCAATATTCTTTGTCGTATAAATGAAATGATAGAATATGTAAGCTTTTTATCAGAACGAATTTATCCAGTTATATCAAGATATTGTTTTGCAAATACTTAACATCTACTTTAATATAGATGAGCTATCTAGTTAAACCCCAATAAAACACGAAAAGTCACACGTTAACGAAAGTCCGCATCCAGTTGAGTGCTGTACGGAATGTTCGTCATTGGCGCCATTTTCTTCATTCTGCGAACCTTTTCCATCATCACAAACCTTTTTTTCTATTGGAAATGAGCTACTATACATTCACCCACTTACAGCTTTTTCATGGTCCTGACATTCGAGCAAATCTTCCCAGTAAATCTTGCATAGTCTATCTGTATTTTGAACACCAACCCTCGACAAACATCTTCGTAAGTTATTAATCAAATGAGAGGGAGACTCACCGAAAGAAATCACGTTCCATAATCTGGCAAAACTTAGGCTTAAATGCGTTTTGCATTGTGAACAATGACATTCCCAGGTTCAAATTCGGAACATCTACGAAAGGCCGGTGTAAAAAGTTACCTCCAGGCTTGTACGTCAGCGGGAACTCCTTGCCTTTTTAAACTTTCATTAAGTGGAAAATTACTTACCGGTTCCGTATAGTCCGTTTCTATGGAGTGAATCTTTTATAAAATGTTCAGTTGACTCTAAAAACGATAATGAATACTTCAGCTTTCTGTCTTGTTTGGCTCTCGCATCTTCATTCAAACGAGAAAGCTTCTCTTCGTTCGTTTCCACAAAAGCCATCTGACCTTGATACTTTTTCTTTCGCGGCTCTAAAATACAATCATCCAATATCAGTTCAACAAACTTGTGTTAACCAGTTGTTTTCTTCTTGCTCGCTTCTAGGTCTTATGGAATGGTTCCAGGTTTTTGGTGGATTTTAACGCAGTAGATCCAGCCATTTGTCCGCTATAGCTCTGGCATACGAAACAGGAGTTTAAGTGCTGCTTAGTTTGCCTTGGACTGTGATACAATTGGCTTCTCCAGATGTCGAGTTGTCAGGCCGTTGTTCGGACTGAACGTTGAAGAGAGTCAGGGAAAATGAAGAGAAAACCTGGAGAGATAGAGTTATGTGAGCAGAAGGCGAAGAAAAGTGAACCAATGGAGTAATCTACTTACACCCAAGTGAGGCGAGAGGGGTGCGAAGATATGAAGAACTTAGGTAGGTGAGGCTGATCCATATCAAGCGAAGGGAATGAAAAGGGCTTAAATGATTGCAGTCGAAAGAAAACTGCCGTAGAGGTAACATGTTTGGGATTGCGTGACAGCAGTTGATTTCTTCTCTTTAGTTGGTATTGTACCAAAAATGGATCTCTGCGTGACTGTCTGACCTCTTCGGATTTCAGATTCAGATCTCAGACTTGTCGTCTGAAAATAGGAGGCTGAGAACCCATATCAATCCCCTTCCACTAGGTTTCTGTGCTTGTTCAATCCTCTTTTGAACGAGTCATTTGATGATGCGGACACCACTTCTTCTGGGAGTCGGTTCAGGCGTTGATTACTCGACGCAAGGACCAGTACTCTATGGGGGCTATGTTCGTCCTTTTGCTTTCGTAGCCTTCGACTATGTCCTCTGAGTTGTTCCGACCTATTCGGAAGAAAGAGAGAGGATAGATAAGGTCGAAGTCAATCCTTAGAGTCCTGAGTAGCATGGATGGGTCTCTCCTCTGTCTGCTATAGGACAAAGTGAAGAGGTTCAGCTCCTTAGGCCCATCTTCATAGGCGAGGCCAGCCATTGCAGGGACTATACGAGTGGCTGCCCTCTGAACTCTTTCTGGAAGGTCTGCATCACTTTTCAGACAATGATCAGCCACCTGTATACAGTTTTCTAATTTAGACTTAAATAAGGATGTGTATAAGGTGGTGAGCATGTCACCACGTATTTTCATAAACATTCTGCGTAATTCCCAGAGAGTCCTAAAACGCCGAGCTGCCATCAATCGACAGCGATCCACGGTTTCCAAGTTATAACTCACCGTGACCTTCATTGTGGGTCAGTACTGACTGTAAAAGAGTCCCATCAATATCGCAGGTGTTGCTGTGTGTGCCCCAAGTGCATACTCACACATGTACATGCACTGATAGGCCTCAGCCACTTCTCTGATCAGGTAGACAAGCAGTTCAGTTCTGCCCGAAGCTCACGTATATCCTCACCGTTTTTACATCATCAGCGTAGAGAACCATGGGGGATTTCGTGATATCTGACAATTCATTTACGCATGGGAGAAACAGCAGCAGGCCCGGCACTGTGACTTGCGGCACTCCACTCTCTACCGACTTCCAAGTGGAGAGTTGGAAATTGATCCTAACTCTTCGTCTTCTACCAACAAAATAGTCTCTTATCCACGCGAACAGACTGCCGGTGATTCCAAAGCTTTACAGTTTCCCGAGCAACCTGGAATGGGGTACTTTGTCGAACGCCTTACTAAAGTCAATGAAAATGACACCTACAGGTATTCTACCATCTTTGGGCTTAACCCAACTTTCTCTGACTGTTAGGTGGCTCCTTAAGCAAGAGAAGTTTCCACGAAACCACGCCTTGAATGAGACAGTAGTGTGTTGCTCTCTAGGTGTACTATTGTGGCTTTCTGGATTGTTCCTTCTGGGATTCTGACTACAGTACCGGTCAAACTTATCGGTCTGCAATTTGATGAGGGCTGCCTTGAACCCGCCCGTGGATAGGTGTCACTATGGCATCCTTCCAGTCATAAGGCAGTGTACCTTCACTGAGGGACAGTCTGAATGTAGTAGCCAGTGGGCTGGCTGCGTACAGTGCAAGCTCTCTGAACAGCCTTGGATGCAGTTCATCTGGTCCCGCTTAGTGCCTTCGTAAAATATCCGGCCATGGCTCTTGCATCTTCCCTATTGTCCTCAATCAAACTGTCAGTTTCGGCCCCTTTGATAAGGGCGGGTATGCCACGACACATCTTATTTCCATGGTTCATATATGAAGATAAATTCTTCGGGTGTTACAATGCACCTGGGTAAGACGTGCTTCAGAGCATATTCGAGATCACTGGGTAGCAGCGATACATTTATTTCAAGCTTCTTTGCCACATCGAGTGTACCGAGGTGTGTGGCAAGACTCCAACACTTTCTTACGTGGTGGCAAGATTTGGGTTTCGTGATTTATCCACGAGGGAAAATGTTCCCGTCCCCTCGAGACGGTCCACGGAATGAACGGTTGGGTCACTCGTGCATACAACTGTTCGAAGGGGCACCATTCACCTTCAACGGAGGCTTCTGGACTGACTGCCCAGTTTTCCGAAGAGGCTGCCAAGTTAATAGCTTCCATATTCGCTTTCCATGTGTTGGGTCTAGCTGGGGCATCGACCCCGTACAAGACGTCTGCTGCAAATCTGAAGATGATCACAGGGTGATCGCTTTCACCGAGAGGTGCTAGGTGTCAGGTGAAGCAAACATCATCTGTATATGAGAATACTAAATCTAGAACTGATAGAGCATGCTGATGATCATACCTGGTCTCTGTCCTGTGTGAGGGCTAAGGAAACTGATGTTTTCACTGACCTGTGATCAAATGAGTTACGTGGCGCTTTTGTTGTTGGTCTATTTCGGTCAATTGATAGTGGGCTGAGGTCTCCTACAACAAGGCATCGGCATGTATGTGTCCAGAGGGTCGGAATATTCAGTAGGAAGTCCGCTGCCTCACGTTCAGGGCTTCGATACACTACGAATACGTCAACAACTTGTCCCTTGTGTTTTAGTCGGCAGCGCAGCAATTGTCATGTCCTGCTTTCATGTGCAACTGTTTCTATGGCTTTCACAGTTAAGGTATTCTTAACGCAACGGATGGCGCTACAACGTTCGCGTGCTAACCTGTCACCTCTAAAAGGGACGAATCCTCGTGCGTTTCACGGCCAGTGAGAGAAGAGAGCCAAGTTTCTGAGATGGCAATGGTGTCACGACTTTCGTTGCTCAACACATTACTAAGCTCAGTCCACTTGTTTAGGGGACTATTTGCATGTACATACAAGACAACGAAACTACCTAAATGAGCTTCCGTCATATCCACACAAAAACCCACCACCTTCAGCTCTTTGTTTCTCGACATGTATCAATGTGATGATGCCTCTAAACTGGCTTCCTTAATGCTAAAATACTAATGCGAGAACAAAACATTTATCTATTTATCCTGCTCTCCAGCTGCTAATCCGGATTTTAGTTTTTCTTCTGCTCCTCATTGTTGAGTCGGTGAGCAAGAGCCGGATCCTTGAAGTCTGCGAGCATCCTTCAGAATCTGATCAGTCTCATCTGCTGACTTGAACATGACTTTAAGTAGCCGAAACTTGCTTTCAGTAACGATTGCCTCCAATTTTCCTGCTGTAAATGTCTTGAGTAGGTGACTCCTGGCACATTTTCCGGTAAGAGCTGGTTTATCAAACTTTGTACCTTGCCAAGGTCATGTTTGAAACGTTTACGTGGTTCTGGATCTCTACTCTCTTCCACTCTGTGGAAGATTATAAACTTGTCAAGGATCTCTGCCTTGTCTTTGCTCTGTGGAGTGATCATAGCCGGTTCGATGATCGTTGTTAGTTCCTTAGCATGCCGTTTAGACTTAGTTACTTGTCATCTTTCACAGTCAGGTCTGTAAGGTTTACTGGAGCTTAGTCCGCCTGCCTTGTCGCTGAGAGCCCCAGCATGGACTTGCATCCCATTCCGTTTAGTTCTGGTCAGTGGTTGGGTCGCCGAACTGGGTACGACCTGCGGCCTGCATGGTCCCGTGGTTGGCGCTGAGAGTGCTTCACTCTCGTTTCTTTCATCTGAAGTGGACCTAGTCTTACGGTCGGCAGTTTTCAGACTGGGTCTGCCAGCCCTGGGGACGTGAGAACCAGGGAATACTCACTTCACCCTGCTTGGCGTGAGACGTTCAACGGATGAGGCGGGTACTACTTCTGTTGTTAATGCATTCCACTGCCCGTAGACTCGAGGGGAGAAGCGAGGACGCACACGAGTTTTTGACTTTTGGTGGGCAATTCTCTTGGAGCTTCTGTAATATCTTTTCATGGGCTTGTGTGAACTAACTGATTTCTTCGTACTCGCTTCTAAGTCGCACGAAGCGGTCGCAGGTTTTGACTTGATTATTGATCAAATTTGTGAGGACTGTATGATTTGTTCAAGGACTGTTGAGCATATGGGTTCCTCCAATGTCATATCACCAGAAAGTTGTTCAGATTGATCAGTAAGGAAGGATACAGATGGGACAGAAAATGTCTGGCAAAATCAAAGCAAAGGAAGTGCGAAAACACAAGGTGAAGAGGAACGGGGTGAGAGGCAAGATAACAGGGGAACCTTGATAAATAGGGTGAGATCACAGATTCAGAGGTATGAGAATGAGTGGGTGAGATAACGGGAAGGGTTGTGGGGATCGAAATGGTATCCTTATTAATTAGGGCATGGCAATTAAAAGGGAGGCGTCTTACAGGGAAGTATAAGGTTAAGCTGCTCAAGCGTTTATAGCGGCGGCACGAAAGTTTCATTATGAGGTTGACTATGTTGGGTTATGTAGAATTAGCGAGCCGCAATTACCTGATCCGTATTGTAGCTCGATGACAGCAAGCCGACTGTCTAACATCACTTCTAAAGAAGCGTTTTAATACAGCAAGGGATGTACAATACTCGCTTTGTAACGAGGTATTCTACGGCAACCCAGCCACGGTTTGTGAATTATTTGGTGACTGGTTTGGGAGTTTCAGCTGTGAGACGCATACTCCCACCAGTAGCGTGCCACTCTCCAGTAACCATCTTGAGACTGCAGAATTTACTTGCGAA